ACAGATCACAGTCTTCTGCTGGAACGGAGAACAGAAACCGAATCCCACAGCTAGAAAAGAGAGCTAGAAACAAGAGAGCAAGTACAAACTTTATAGCTGCATTTACAGTATAAGAGACCATGCCCAAGTGGGCTGGAATCTTAAAGGATGAAGGAGCAGAATGTGATCCCACAGCAAATGTGCTCACAATGGGCCTTCCTTCTTGACCAATCAGAACAGAGCTCATGGCAATGTGCACACAATGGGCCTTCCTTCTTGACCAATCAGAACAGAAGCTCATGGCAACCTGCACACAATGGGCCTTCCTTCTTGACCAATCAGAACAGAAGCTCATGGCAACCTGCACACAATGGGCTTTCCTCGTCACACACCCTTCTGATGAGACTTGAACAAAATCCTGCCATTCCTCATGCAGAGGCCAGGTCTACTCAAGCTGAATCAAGTAGATGATTTCTGTATTGATTGGTCATCCAGGAAGGGCTAAAAATTCTTGTCCTAAAGGTGTTGTCCTGGAAACACCAGTTTTTTTGGATACCCGATGAGCCTTGCTTCCCGTTGAGTTTGTGACCTTATGGTGCAGCTTTTATTCTGTAATGTACCATCATGTCCAACTAATTTCATCTGTGTGATGTTTTGCTCAAATAACCCAAAGCTCATTGCTGTTTGGAGAAAGGACTGCTCAGATCCTTCTTCAGAGAAGAAAACATGAAGGCCAACCCTGTGATGGGAAGGCCGCTTTCTCAACTTCTCCATGTGGACTTGGGACCTTTTCCTGTGAGAGGAAGAATGTGCCAGCAGAGTTAGTAGGAAGTAGGATTTTTACAGAGCACAGCAGCATGTGGGAGGGGAGAGTGGCTCCACACACCACGTGAGTCTGTACGGAAAGGCTTGGGCCAGGCCCAGTAGAGGTGCCCAGCTGGGCATGACTGGGTTCATTCATGTAATGCCTCTGCTTCCCTGGAGCCCCCATAAACACATAGCCACTAAGCTCTCTAGTCAGACATCCTTGTTTTGGGGACAAGAATCGTGTGGCCCAGGCTGTCTGTAAGGTTGTTTTGGGACAAGAATCATGTGGCCCAGGCTGTCTGTAAGGTTGTTATGTAGTTGAGGTTGGCCTTGGATGTCCAACTCATCCTATGTCACCGTTTCCAGTTAGAAGATTTTTCTTTCTTTCTTTCTTTCTTTCTTTCTTTCTTTCTTTCTTTTTATTTTTAAATATTTATTTATTTATTGTGTATACAATATTCTGTCTGTATGCCTGCAGGCCAGATCCCATTACAGATGGTTGTGAGCCACCATGTGGTTGCTGGGAATTGAACTCAGGACCTTTGGAAGAACAGGCAATGTTCTTAACCTCTGAGCCATCTCTCCAGTCCTTTTCTTTCTTTCTTAAAATTTTATTTTAAAGCTGGGCAGTGGTGGCTCACACCTTTAATCCCAGCACTCAGGAGGCAAAGGCAGGTAGATATCTGTTTGAGGCCACTGGTCAACAGAGTGAGTTCCAGGACAGCCAGGGCTACAGAGAGAAACAAAAAACAACAACAACAAAATAGTCATAGTCTAAATCTACATTTCCCTAAGGCCCCAGTGATATTCAAGGTACTGGTTCCGAGGAGCACAAAGAGCAGGAAAACCAGGCCAAGATTTCTCCCAGCCTTCGTTTTCCATGTTCCCAGTGTTCCCCTTGTGTGGCACCCATGTAATACCACTCCATGCCAGCAGGTGTCAGCAGCGCACTCTGAGGCACATTAGGAGCTGTTCTTTTAGGACCCTAGCTATGTTTCCCAAGTGTTCACGCTGTTAGCCTGTTGAGTAGCGAGTAGCGTTTGGTTTGGTTATGCTCCCAGACTCTGGGAGTGGAGACCACCAAAGGGCATTCATAACCGTAGTGCTTTCTGATGTTAGGATCATCTGTTCACATTGTTGGAAACTTGGCTCTTCGGGTTTTTGTTGTTCATTTGGTTTGGCCTTTGGCTTCCTAAGACAGGGTCTCATGCAGTTCAGTCTGGCTTTACTTCTGTTAGGATAGCTGAGGATTGCCCCGGACTCCCGAGTCTGCCCGCTCCCGCTTCTCAAATCCTGGGGTTACAGGTGGGTGTCACCACGCCAGGCCAGCAAAAGAGGCACTTCAGCGCTGTCAGCCGTGGCTGTTTCCACATAGCGTTTCCATGCTCTGTGTGTGTGTGACGCCTGAGGAGGCCAGAGCTGGAGTTATAGTGGGTTCTCTGCAAGAGCAGCACACACTCTGAACTGCTGGACCGTGTCTCCAGCCCCTCCTGCGTTTTCTTACTTCCAGAGGAATCTTTATTGCTGCCATCCCTGCCATTTCACAGATGAGAAAGGAAAGGTACAGACAAAGAATGCTGCAATTTGTGTGGTACAGGAAAGCCAGTGGCGGAGAGAGAGGAGTCAACCTTGGCTGCTTTTGCAGGACGCCTCCCTCTTTACCCATTTATAAAGAAAGAAAAGCCCTGCTCCGGAATTTTCTTTTGCATTAAACATTGTTATTAACAAGACTGGAGCTAGATCAGCTTGGTGGGAACGCCGGGTTCTGATTAAACTGCTACAATAACGCTGGTTCTCACCGGACTCCCTGGGAGACAGACGCTGTCCATCTCCAATACAACCATCAAGAGTCACGTGCTCAGCGGACAGTCTTTGATACAACCATCGGGAGTCACGTGCTCAGCGGACAGTCTCCAATACAATCATCAAGAGTCACGTGCTCAGCGGACAGTGTTTATTTATTGCAACTAAGGAGTCCCTGTCCAGCGCATGGTACCAAAGCCCTCTCTGAAAATGTCCTGGACCTGCTGGAAATAGCTGAGGGGTAAACACTTGGCGTGTACTTATGTTAAACAAAGGCTTGTCTGTCCCTGGATGCGGGGTGTCTATGGACTCATGCCCTGTCTTCTAGGACCTCTCAGCTTGTGCAGCCACAGCCATCTCCTGTCCCTCCTCCTTCTCCACCCCCATTAAATCGGGCACAAAGGGGTCAGTGTCACTGTGGAGGGCAAGCAGAGTGGATTGCTCGGCAGCAGACCTCAGGGGAGGGCGGGACGACCATGAATGATGGCTACTGCCCCTTCCAGCTCCGGGAATCTCAAAACCTGGGCTTAGAGTATTTTCCACAGTGGTCCTATGAACTGTTAATGTGGAGAATTAGATAAAAAAAATATTTCTGTGGCCAAATGAATTTGAGAAGGCCTGGTTCTAAAGAAGTGACACGGGTTCTCTTTTCAGCAGAGCTGCTGGTCTGTGAATCCTCAAGGACAGGATGGGGGCCAATTGTGCCTTCCTTTCCAAGATTAACTAACCCCTGTGCTTGGACACCTGACAGGGAACACTGGAAAGGTCCCATCAGTTTGTCTTTCCCTGCAGACTGGACAAGCTTCAGGAGCATGTGACCTGAGCAGCTGCACAGGGTCACCCAGCCACATCTCTGGGTTTCTGTGTCATCATTATTGTTTTGTTTTGTTGGGACCTGGTCTCGTTGTGTAGCCTACTGTAGCCTCAAACTCCCAGTCTTTCTGCACTGGCCTGCATAGTGCTGGGGTCCCTGGAGTATATACCCTGTTCTAGCTGCCTACTAGAAACCTTCTGTGAAGTGTGGACACAGGACTGGGTCGTTCAATTTATGGGGCGGGTCCTGCCTACTGATCTTGTGGAAGAGGAGACGGAAGCCCAGGGAAGAGAGGGGGCCTGGCTGTTCCTCCTTTTCTGCCCACTGTCATTTTTCCACCTCTGCTCATCTTCCACTGTCTCTCCCTTTTCTGACTTGGCGTGTCTTCATTGCACCCTGTTTCCCCCCCCCCCTTTTTACCCTGTCTTATACTTGTGGACATACAACCCTGGAAGGATTTACTTGTCTGTTTAAGGCAAATGCCCCAGCCTGGCTTCCGGGTTCTCACCACCACCCATCACGTCTAAGCCTGCTCCATTTTCTAATGCATCTTCCATTTCTTAAGAGGTTTATTTTTTTATAAGTGTCTGCATGTGTTCGTGTGTGTGTGTGTGTGTGTGTGAGTACGGTGTCAACAGAAGCCGGAGTCACTGGATCCTCTGGAGCTGTAGCTACAGGTGATTGTAAGCCACCCATTGTGGGTCCTGTGCGAGAGCAATCTGTGCTCTTGGCCAGCAAGTCGTCTCTGCAGCCCACCCTCTGTCTTTGTTTGGGCTCCTTTTGGCACTGACACTAATGCATGTCACAGCACTGTATGGGATAAATGTAAATGCACTGATTCTTTGGAACTGGGATCCAAAGAATAAGGATGCGTGGGAACAGATACAGGTAGAGCTGGATTCAGGGATCCGGGTGATGCTATCTGGGCCCTTTCCTCTGTGATCCCCACTTGTCTCTCGGAAATATTATCTGGCCAGATCTTTCCACTGGAAGGCTAAGATTGTGTCATTCCTTGAGTTACACAGGAAACCTGGGGGCAAAGTTTATAATGGCCCAGTTTGTGCACTTCCCCCTCACTACTAGAAGACCCCTGGAGGGGGTCATGTGCCCAACCATGGGGTCCAGTGATGACCGATGGTGGAGACTCCAGCAGAATCACCTAGGTGAGCTCTCCATGGGCAACAGGGCTTCTAGAACTAGCAGAATGGAGGAACTGTGTCCTGCAGAGAAGAGGGGGACTAGGGGGCCTACCTTTCACGTACAGACCGTGCCATGGCTGCAGCTGGCCTTTGTGTAATTTAATCACCCACCTCTTCCTTCCCCGGATGTACCTGGACCCTCTTCCTTCCCCGGATGTACCTGGACCCTCTTCCTTCCCCGGATGTACCTGGACCCTCAAACTGAGCCCAGAATGAATGCTCAGAGAGTACTTAGGGTTTTTTCCCCTACAATTTTATGAATTCCGTATTTACATAGTTTACACCCCTACTTCTCCCCCTCTTGAAGTCATGACCTATTCTATAATTATTGTTATCCCCCTCCCCCCCATACACATCTGAGTTCATTCAGTGTTGTTCTTCTGGTTGTGTGTTTACAGCTGATCTCTCGTGAGGACCACTCGTGGAGAAGACTGATTCTGCCTCTCTCAGCAGCCATTAGCAGCCGCAGCTCCTCAGCTAGGGGAAGTGTTGTGAGACTTCCCGCATCCACGATATATGTGAGCTGGTTGCTCACTATGCAGGTGTTATTTAGGTGACCATATTGTTGAGATTTCTCAGGTGTGGCTTTCTTGTCACACAGAGAAGACAGCCTCGCAGCCGACTTCCTGGTCTGCTGGCTCTTACAATCTTCCTGCCCCCTCTTCCATGATGCTGCCTGAACCTTAGAAGTAGGGGCTTTGCTGGAGAGGTGGCCATTGATGACAGGTAACTTGTGATCATTTTGACCAGTCCTGGATCTCTGTAGGACCCTCTGTCTCCTGTGCAAAGAAACATTTGTTGTTGTTTGTTGTTTTTTTTTTTTTTTTTTTTTTTTTTTTTTTTTTTTTTTTTTTTTTTTTTTTTTTTTTTTTTTTTTTTTTTTTTTTTTTTTTTTTTTTTTTTTTTTTTTTTTTTGAGATAGGGTTTCTCTGTGTATTTGGAACCTGTCCTAGAACTCACTCTGTAGACCAGGCTGGCCTTGAACTCACAAAGATCTGCCTGCCTCTGCCTCCCAAGTGCTGGGATTAAAGGCCTGCACCCGGCAAAGAAACTTCTTTAATGAGGGGTGGGAGCTACACTTAACCAGCTGCCTCCCGTTCCTGCGGAAGTCAGGATGGCCCTGAAAAGACGTTGTGGAGTCTTTGGGGGCTAATGGACGCTGAAGGTTTTGTGAGAAAGTCTTCTGTTGGGCTAAAGTCAGTCAGCACTACTTCAGCCTTTGTGTGCACAACTTTTATGGGAGCCTTTGCTGGCTGAAGTCTGTTAGTGGAAAGACTCAGCCAGACACATGAAAGGGGTTGATCGAAATGGCAGCTGAGCCTCGGGAGAATCGGGAAGAAACCCAGGTCCAGGGTGGTTTTCTGTCCTCGTGTCTATCTATTGGCATGGTTTTCCTGCTTCCCACAAAGGCGGCTGTTGTCTGATTACTCCTTGCTGTGTTGTATGGGAAGCTGCAGACAGGGCTGGCCTGGTGATGTCACCTCCTAGTTTGGGGCCCATCGCTAGGTGATACGCTTTGAGGTTTTGTGAAAGACGACATGTGGTCACTAGTCAGCGAAGACACTGCTTCCCTTTTCCTTTTCTTTCACAGATATTTTCATTGACGCCTATTGTGTGTGTGAGCATGCACACGTGTGTATATATGTGTATATATATGTGTGTGTGCACATATGTGCAAGTGCTCACAGAAAGGTGTCTGATCCCCTTTTCTTATAAACCTCCTGACTGGGTTCTGGGAATGGACATGGGTCTTCTGCAACAGCAGTACACTCCCTTAACTTGGGGTCATCTCTCTAGCTCTCCCCTGGCTTTTAAAGACAGGGCATCACACAGTAGACCTGATTGGTCTGGAACTCGATGGAGACCAGGTTGGTCAGACTCATAGAGACCCACCCACTCCTGCCTCCCACATGCTGAGATTAAGGGATGTGCACCACCAAGCCTGGATCTACTTTCTGTTCTGTTCTGTTCTGTTCTGTTCTGTTCTGTTCTGGTCTGGTCTGGTCTGGTCTGGTCTGTTCTGTTCTGTTCTGTTCTGTTCTGTTCTGTTCTGTTCTGTTCTATTCTATTCATTTATGTATTGTTACTATGTATATAGTTTTCTCCTTGCATGTATTATGCCTGCAGGCCAGAAGAGGACACCAGATCTCATTATAGATGGTTGTTCAGATGGCGGGTCCTGAGGCTGGCTGGTGCAGAGCAGAGGAGCGAGCCTCTTGGAAGGTGAGGAGGCCTCCTGGTTGTGCTTGAGAGTGAGCCGCTCCAAGAGATGCTTGCTCAGATATGGCTGGGGCATGGCAGTCTGTGTTGGCTGTGGCCTAGCCAGCTTATGAAGATTGGTCAGGTGGTTGCCCATCTTCTTGATGAGCTTTGCTTCCTTGTTCAGAAAGTGGTTTCCCAAGAAGTCACAGAGATGAGGTTATACGTGGGCAGAACCCAGGGAATGAAGATGCAGAAAAACCTGGTTCAGGTTCTTCTCCAGGGCCAAGGCAGCTTCCATGTCCTCCTAGGTTTTATCCCCCTCATTTTGAGATGGCTTCTACACATCCTGGAGGAGTGCATGGCCCAACTGATCATTCTGTAACTTGAGGAGATGCTGGGTGCCCTCGAGCTTCTCCTCGGTCAGTTCTTGGAAGAGGTGGTCTACACTCTCCAGACTGGCTCTACATTTTAGACAGGGTCTCAGATAGCCCAGTTTGGCTTGGAACTCTTTGTGTAGTTGAGGAGGATGACCTTGAACTCCTGACCCTCCTGCCTCTCCTTCCATGGTATTGGGGTTACAGGTTTGCATTACCACGTCTGATGCATGTGGTACCAGAGATAAAATCCAGGGCTTCCTACATGAGTGGCCATCTCTCTGCCAGACTGAGCTACATCTCATCCCCCCAGTTACCTGTTTAAAGGTTCTGTCAAATGAAGTTACATTCTTCCAGTGCTTATAGCTAGTATTTCAATAAAATATGTTTTATAAAACAAGATGCCTGATTTGGCCATTGGTGTCTCCACTTAAGATCAAGAAGCAAGAAACATGAAGCCCAAAGAGTTCAGTAGATAGCAGCTGATCAACCCTTGCTCCTCAAAGACATCAATGTCCTAACTTCCTATGTGGCCCAGGCTGGCCTTAAACAAGCCACCCTCCTGCCTCAGCCTCCTGAGTGTTGTATATTGTAACTGGAGGTTTCTTGTCCCGCCTGGTCCCACAACTGCTTTTGAAATAACCACTCAGAGGCTTAATATTAATTACAAACTGTTTGGCCTATTAGCTCAGGCTTATTATTTAGTAGCTCTTACAATTTAACCCATTTCTATTTGTTTATATTTTATCACCAGGCTTGTTGCTTGTTACTACCCTTCTTGCTTTTCTGGCAGCTGATTGAGTCTCCCTCCCTGCCTTCTTTTTTCCTGTATCTTTGCTTGAATTTCCCACCTGGCTTTGTTCTGCCTGGCCATCGGCCAAATCAGCTTCTTTATTAACCAGTGTTACTAAAACATATCACAGCATGCAGAGAGACATCCCACATCAGTGTATAAGATCATATCCATCTTAGTAGGTTTTTTGTAGATCTTACCCAGCACCACACCCCCCCATCTCAATAAAGAAGCTAGTTCTTAGTGTAGGCTTGCAGGAGGTTGAGACTGTGATTGGCTACAGCTAGACTGTGATACCTGTGGCACAGCTGAGCTTCACCTGCACAGTGCCACCTCCAAAGTCCATGCTCCACCAACATGTAAGGAGTGATGTCACCAGAGTGTCTCTCACAGCCTCGGCTCTGTGTTAGAATACAGCTTTACCTAAGCTTTCTCACGGAGCGACGGCACTAAAGCCTGTGCTCCGATGATGGCTTCGTGTGCCTGAATCAAGTGGACTTAGAATTGGGGACAAGTCATGTGATGGCTAATTCTCACTGTCCACTTGATTGTCAGGAGGACAGCGCTCTGTAAAGACGGAAGTTTAGCTGAGGTGGGAAGACTGTGAAGTATACTGTGTAGGCTGCGGTCCTGAGATGCAAAAAGGCAAAGGAAAAAGAAAACAAACTAAACACATAGCATGATACTAACCTTCCTCTGCTTCCTGCCTGGGGCTACAGTCTACCCAGCACCCTGTGCTCCCAGGTCTGTGCAGTCCTCACCACAGTGGGGCTAGGTCTGCCGAGCCACCACCACCACCACCATACTGTTCTCACCACAATGGGGCTACAGTCTACTCACCAGTGGGACTACAGTCTACTGAGTGTCTTGTGCTCCCACCACCGTGTGGTTCAAACCACGGTGTATGTACCTCCTCAAACCATGAATCAGAATGACCCCCCTCTTTTTCTAACCTGCTTTTGGTCTGGTCTCTTGTCATGGCAACGAGAAAAGTAGCTAACACAAGTCAAACTTTGAACACCAGTGATCAGGGAACGCATTAACTCCCATTGTGACTTGATGTGAATGGCCAGGGTGCACAGACGCAATGCTTCCTAGCAAAAAGAATAATTTAAAAAAGACATTTCTTATGGTCGGCTCACCTCAATCTACATCAAACATGCAATTACTCTGTAACATGTCACACATGTCGCTGAGGTTGCTTTCCTTACAAATGAATGAGTTCCTTGTATCCACCAGCCCCAATTACACAGTGGTTGTGCTGGATGAAGTCTATTGTGCTGGGTTTGATTTCTCTTTTTCAGATTCCTGTTCACTATAAAATATGTACAACGTGGAGATTAGCTAATTGAGGGTTGAATAGAAGGCTGCCGGATTTGCTGGCGGTAACGACAAAGGGGAGTTAGTTTAGAAGCCAAGCTCAAGTAACTGGATGTCTGACAGGCTTCTGCTCTGTCCGCTGTCCACAGACTTCGGAGGACACGGGTCGAATTAGACAGATCCTCTGGCTTTTCTCTTTCCAAAAGAAAGCACGACTTTGCAATTCTGTGAGAAACACCCCAGGTTTGCGGTTGCGATTTGACTGTGAAATGTCCCCATAGGCTCCGTGTCTGAGCACCTTGTCCTTAGCCTGTGGTCCTCCTGCGAAAGTTCATAGAACCTTCGGGAAGTGGAGCCTTGCTGGAGGGAGTTGATCATTGGAGGCTGGTTTCATAGCCTGGGCCCACTTCTTGTTTTTTCTCTCCTCTTCCTGTGTAAGCACAGTGGAAAGCTGGCCTCCCGCGCATGCCTATTGCCCTGCCTGCCTGCGGTGATGGAGGCCATCCCAGGACAGACAGCTGCAATGGCCTCTTCCTGCAGTTCTTGTCAGGCATTTTGTCACACAACATAATGAATACACTTGGACCTCCTAGTACTGGCAACAAGGACTGGCATGGAAGCCGTGGAGAGCCAAGCCACCAAGAGTCTTCAGGCTGTGACTCGGTCAGCAGAGGTGAGCGTATGAGAAGCTCAGAGGTTCGCGTGGACCCCTTCAGGTGTGGCTCCTTCACTGAAGCAGCAGTCTCGTGAGGTCCCTTCTTCTGAAGGAGGAAGTCAGCTTTGGCACTTCCCTGGGGTGTCCCGAGGTCTTCGTTCACATGGGGGGGGGGTGGCCCACCCGTGCCTCCCTTGCCCGTTTTCCTTCCTGTTAGCTTGAATGGATCTTGTGTTCCTCGAGGTTCAGGTGCGAGAAGTCTGGTCCCCAGTGTGTCAATACTGAGAGCTGGAGGAAGGCTGAGGAGTGGGGTGCGGTAGAGGGTGGAAGCTCATTGGAGGTATTGCCCTCCCAGGGACAGCAAAGCCATCCATGAGCTCGGTCTCTTCTGCATGTAGCCGTTCTTTCCTGTCTCTCTGATGTGATGGCCAGGGTGCTGTCCAGAAACTGGACGGATGAAGCCACTCCCTTGGAATTTTGGCCTCAAAACTGTACGCCAAGCAACCTTTATTCAGTACTCATACTTGAATGTGTTTGTAGCACAATTTCTAATTGGTCTTAATAATAAGAACCCAGAGTCAGATATTAGGGGTTGAAAGCTGAAAGATCAGAGAAGCAGAGCAGTCAGCCACTAGGTCTTACGAAATCCTCAGACTGAATGCTGTCTCTACAAAATCTCAGACTGCAGTCTGAGCTCCTGTCTCCTCCCGCCTTATATTCCTCTCCTGGCCCAGCCATATCACTCCTGTCTCCACCTCCCTAGTAAGGGGATAAAAGGTGTCAGCTACTACCCTTGGCTCTGTTTCTCTTTGAGAGTGATTTAATCTGGAGTAGCCCAGGGTGTCCTTGAACTCACAGAGATCCTCCTGCCTCTGCGCTGGGATTGAAGGTGTGTGCCACCACTGCCTGGCCTCTGTGGCTAACTAGTATGCCTAGTTCCACACTCTGACCTTTAGGCAAGCTTTATTTGTTAAAGTACAAACAAAATATCCACCACCATGAGTTATTACACAAACAGCAAAAGGAATGACTTACCTCTTCTTGCCTCCCTTGCAAACTGATCCCCACCTGCTCTTCTGGCTCCTTAGCTTGCTGTCTGGCTCTTCTCTAGGTCTCCTTCCTGTACACCAGTGGGCGGGGCCAGTGTACCAGCATTATTGGATGGACTTTCACCCCTTGTCACTCAGAGAAGACTCTGGGAGAGGTTGAGCATGTGGCTTAGTTGACAGAGTGCTCACTTAGCATGCATGGTGGGTTTCATCCCTTGCGCGTCTCAAAAGTGGGATGGTGAACGTTATGGTTTTCTGTCTCTTTAAGAGACAAGCCACGCCCACTCCCACTCCGCTCCCTCCCCCATCCGCTGAGGCAGGCTGATCTCCAGCTTCCAGCCTAAGCTCACTCTCTCCTTTTCCATCTTCCTCTCGGAGAGTCAGCTTTTTCTCCGCACTTCTCTGCTTCCCCCTTCTCTTTCTCTTCTCTCTCTCTCTCTCTCTCTCTCTCTCTCTCTCTCTCTCTCTCTCTCTCTCTCTCTCTCTCTCTCTNCTCTCTCTCTCTCTCTCTCTCTCTCTCTCTCTCTCTCTCTCTCTCTCTCTCTCTCTCTGCCCCCCTTCACCCTTCCTCCTCCATAACCCCCTGAATAAACTTCAACCTCACCCTGCATGTCGTGTCTATCCATGTTTCTGTCTTCTGCCCGCCCGCCATGTGTCTCCCTGCCTGGGACCAGCCATTGTTCAGGGACCAGCAGCCGTCCCTGCCTGGGGCCCACTGCCTGCTGCCACATGGCCTACCACCACTGCTCTGAGACCAGCAGCCATCTCTGCCTGGGACTGGCTGCTCCCAGGGCCCGCTGCCTGCCACCACATGGCCCGCCACCACCATTTGGGACCTACAGCATTTCTGCTGCCTACTGCCGCGGGGATCTTGCAGCATTTTTTAAAAAAGAGTAACAGTGAACACACCTGCAATCCCAGCACTCAGGAAGTAGATAGCAGGATCAGAAATGTAATGTTATCTTCAGCCACCTTGTGAGCTTGAGGCCAGGCAAGATTCTGGATAAATAATAGATAAATAAGTAGCGATCACTCGGCAAGCAGGGGCAGGTGGATCTCTGTGAGTTCGAGGCCAATCTGGTCTACAAGAGCTAGTTCCAGGACAGGCTCCAAAGTTACAGTGAAACCCTGGCTCGAAAAACCAATAAATAAAAGTACCAGCGGCTTGCTGGGGTTTTCTTTTTCTTTTTTAATAGGGGGGATTTTGTCATTGTTCATTAGCTGATGATTAAAAATGAATTAAAATAATTCTCAAGAACTGCATGTCCGGTCAAGCATTATCATGGAGTGATAAATAAGCACAAAGAAAAAAAACCATTTGTGAATGTTTTCTATTCCTGCCAGCTGCCCAAGGGAATTACCCAGGAGTGAGGAGTCCCCAGTGGGGGCAGTGACTGGGTGGCTGGGCTACACTATGCTTCTCGGTTTTCAGATTTTATGTTAGAAAATTGGGGTTTGATCTGGCAGAAGAGAGCCTTTTGCCAAAACAAGGTTCGGAATGTGTTTCTTAGGGACCATGTGTTTTGAGAGGATATAAGCAACGCTTGTTTCAGTGAGAGGGGGAAAAAAAAGCAAAAGGCAAGCCTGTGTGCTGACAGCAAGGAGTGTAGCGACGAAGGCACCTGTAGATGGAGCTGTGTCACGGGGAAGATGGGGAAGGCTGCCTTCCCAGCTCAGGGGCTGTCCTTTGTGTGTTTGCTCTCACAGCCTTGGTTGTTGCTGCACCCGGGAGTCAGTCAGAGGCCTTGCTCACAACTGAGCTGCATCCTCCGCTCACCTCTTAAACAGCTTGCTATTACATTTAGTTATTTGTGTGTGGGTGTGCACTTGTGCACGTATTTGTGCTGTGGCACCTGTGTGGAAGTCAGAGTGTAACTTTTGAGAATGGCCTCTCTCCTTCCAACCATAGAGGCCCCGAGGATTCAACTCGGCGTCCAAACCACAAAGTGGCCTTACCTACTGAACATTCTCACTGGCCATTCAGCCTCTTTCAGTTTTCTGTTTTGGGACACTGAACCACCAAGGCTCCCCAAGTATTTGGGATTATATTATAGGCTGCACAGCAGGCTCCAAGGTTCTAAAGTTGTGTCCCTCTCCCTTCTCTCCAGTCTGATTGGCTAGCCTGGAGTTCACTAAGCCAAATTGACCTTGAACTCCCAGACCCACCTAGCTACCTCACTCTGGTCCCGGACAAGCCCTACACCTTGGGCAAGTTGTCAACTCCTTTCCTTTTACTTTCAGTTGGGCGGTGGAGAGCATATTTTGGAAAGTTGTTACCCAATGTTAGGAATGATTGAATTAGAAATTCCATAGCTGGTGGGCTGTAATTTCAGCAGTGGAGAGGCAGATGTGAGGAGCCGGCAGAAAGTTCCAGACCTGCCAGAACTATACTGTGGAATTTTCCTCAAACCAAACAAAATTAAACAAAAATCTCAAACCAATAGGAGCTGCATAATGCAAACAGATCTTACCTGGATGTTGTAGATGATTGGTAAGCAGGAGGAGGAAGGGAAGAAGGAAGCTCACGGGGGAAGCCCGGGCTGGCTTGGCCTTGGAGGAGAAGCAGTGTCCTGGCTGAGAAGAGCTCAGCAATGGGCTGGAAGTTCCTCCAAGATCATCCTGTGGAAATGAGGAGGGCTGGGAACATTTTGGGAAATCGGGAAAGTAGGCTGGTCAGAAAGGTACTATGCAGGGCCTTTTCTTTTCCTCACACCACACAGTCGGGCTTTTCAGTGAGCAGGACAAAAAGCTGAGAAAGAAGGATCAATGGGAAAAACCACTGTCCTCTCCCTAAGCTGGGGTCCAGCAGGGCTGGGGTCCAGCAAGGATGGAGTCTAGGGTCATGTGGAAGGCAGCTGCAGCTACAGTGATGCGGGTTCAGGTGAGCCAAACCTAAGCGGCTCTCATTGTTAGCCTGGGAAAAGCCTGCCTACAGAGGAAGGCCGAAAGGCCTGGGAAGAAGCTGCCTGTGGGGAGACCTGTGGAGTCTCTTGAGGAGACTTTGGGTCTCCAGGGGGGTTTCTAGGGACGCTTAGTAAGTTTTGAAAAGGTGACGCTGGCCTTTGGTTGAGACTCAGAGACCCCCAGCATCTCTAACATGGGTCAGGCCTTGTCCTGAGGGTCTCACTTCCTCGACCCATCCAATCCTTGTAGGATCTTATGAGAAGGACAACACAAACAAGCTTTACTTTCCCTCTCGATGCCTGGAGCACAGATGCTAAGGAACTCACCTAAGGGACTTAGGGAATGGACTTGGCTTTTAATCGTGACTTTGTACTCCGTTCTCGAACCTCAGACTGCTGCTTCACAGCACGCTAGGCCATGCGAGCATGTACGCACATTGACTGCATGTAGGTCATCCCAAGAAAACAGGCTGATTTCTGTGGCTCTCTCTGCACTAGCTTCCCTCGAGGGGGTAGGGCAGTTTCTCCAAGTCCAGCTTGCTGCACGGCACTGGTGTGGCAGCCTTCCAGCCCAGCGGTAAGACGTCTATAGAAGAGCGATAGCCGAGTGTGCACGAGGCAGGTGGGCCTGCATCCCACCCGGCCTAGGTCAGAGGGCGCTGCTTCAGCTGGCTCTGGCCTGGCTAGCCGGAGGGAGCAGCTTCTTGTTTTGTTTTTCTCAAGAGAGGGTCTCTCTGTGCAACAGCCCTGGCTGTGCTGGAACTTCCAGGCTGGCCTCGAACTCACAGAGATCCGCCTGCCTCTGCCTCCCGAGTGCTGGGATTAAAGGCGTGCGCCACCACCATCCACCCGGCTAGGGAGAGAAGCTTGGAGCGAATCTGATGAAGATGAGCTCAGGGCTGCAGCCAGGCGGCACGGCATTTTTGAAGGAGCGCTCTCTTCCTCCCGCTGATGAATTAATAATCGGGACAGAGTGAGCTGAAGCAGAAGAAAATCGAATGGGATCTCTACTGCGGACCCCCGGGTGCAGTCTCAGTAATTGTTTTATATTTTCATTTCCTTTCTGTTAAAATGCATTTTGAGATTGGGGGTGGGGGTGGGGTTGTTTGTCTGTCTCTTTTGCCTTGGAGTTTCTGAAATATTCCACAGCATGGTCCCTGCCAATTCTGCAGAAGTTTCGCTGTCTCTGGGCTCCTGTTCACAGCCAAGTGGGAGAGTGTCCCCACAAAATGCCATTCCAGTGAAAACAAGAAAAATAAAATGCAAGAAAGCAAATTGCGAGGAGGCGGTGTGAAGTTCCTTGAGTGTGACCTTGATGGTGTGGCCTTTGTTCCTCTGCTGTGCTGTGAAGATTTGCTCATCCGGGCTCCTCCTGTCTTTTCTTTGTTGCCAAAGGTTGCTCGCCGCTCACCAATTTTTCTGGACTTAATGTCTTTGCTGGAACTTCTCTCACTCCACTTTCGGTGTCCGTCCTCGGATAAGAACACACTGGTTAAACTAGTTTCTTCTACCAAACCTAGCACACCCCTCAGCCTCTGAGGATTTGTACTTACCTGGCCTCATAGCCCAGAGTGGCCTCTTGATCCTTCTGCCTCCCAAATGTTGGGATTTCAGGTTCGCAGAGCACCTGGCCTGAGCATCTATTTATTTACTTAAGTAGGTTTTTTGCTTATTTTTTTGGCACAGAATCTCAAGTGACTTAGGCTGACTTCAGGCTCACTGCACAGCAGAGGATGAACTTGGATTTCTGATCTCCTTCGTCTCCTGTGCGTTGGGGTTCCAAGCCTGGAGCACAGCACAGCACAGTCAAGAGCAAGGAGAGGATGAGCGCTTATAGGCTTGCTTTATTTATTTATTTATTTATTTATTTATTTATTTATTTATTTATTTTCGAGACTGGGTTTCTCTGTAGCTTTGGAGCCTGTCCTGGAACTAGCTCTGTAGACCAGGCTGGCCTCAAACTCACAAACATCTCCCTGCCTCTGCTTCCCGAGTGCTGGGATTAAAGGTGTGTGCCACCACCGTCTGGCCTGCTCACACGCTTTGCACTCAGCTAGCTTTCTCTATTTTTTTCCTTATAAAAGACATGTTTTTATTATTTTAAAACTCGTGTGTGTGCACTGGGGCATGTATATGTGAGGGCAGGTGCTCGTGGAGGATGGAGGATTTGTACCCCCTGGAGCTGGACTTAGAGGTAGCAGACAGCACTTGACTAGAGTGCTGGAAATGGAACTTGGGTCTTCTGCCAGAGAGGTACAACTGCCAGGTAGTGGTAGCGGGCGCACACCTTTAATCCCAGCACTCAGGAGGCAGAGGCAGGTGATCTGTGAGTTCGAGGCCAGCCTGGTCTAACTGTGAGTTCCAGGACAGGCAAGGCTACATAAAGAAACCCTGTCTTGAAAAAACCCAAACCAAACCAAGACAAAATAAAAAAAAAATAAGTCAAAGAATCAAGAGAGGGAGTGGGGTGGGCAGGACAACAACTGAGCGGTCACCTCTACGTCCCAGCTTCCCCTGTGCTAACAAAAGTCCCCAAGGGTCTTCCCAAGTCTACTCAGCAACCCAGACA